GCCCCCGTCTCCCGCCGCAGACCGCGAGTGTGCGTACCGCGTCGCCGCCGCCGACGTCTTGTCCGGCCACACGGCGTCCAGGTGCGCAAAGGAAATCTGCGGCCAGCCGGGCTGCAGCCGGGCGAGCGGCGTGCCCACGTCGCACGGGTCCGAGGAGTTTTCTACGAAACCGTGCATGTGAGGAGGGGGGATCTCTCTTCATGGCTTAAGCGGTTCTGGACTCACCCTGCCAGTCGGCGCTGGCTTCAAACACGACCCCCTTTGCTGCTAGCCAGTCGAGCGCCAGGACGGCGGTCTGCATCGTGCGGATCATGGGGCTGACGATCACGGCAATGTCCTGGGCGGGGATGGCGTCGAACCGCTGCCGGAGGGAGTCGCGCAGCGTGAGGCATTGCGACTCGCCTAGCGGGGTGAGTTTGGGATCGGGCAGGCTGTTGTCTTGTGGGAGGTGTTAGTGATTTCTCTTGGGGGAGTTGGAGGCAGGGAGACTTATTGTCTACGTTGTGGTAGCCTTGGGCGTGGCGGATGAGGACGATTTTGGGAGGCATTTTATTTCATGGTTTGGTGATGGGGCTTGATGAGGTTTGTTGGCGTTGGGCGCGGTTGGGCTGGGAGTGTGAGGTTGACTGGCTGTGGGGGCGGAGATGTTGGCCGTGCCACTTATGGGACGGGGGATGCATGTTGGCAGTTTGTAATTTTTTTTATATATCTATTCATGTAGGATACAGGGTTTGGTGTGATTATTATTTGCTACGTGAGTCCTGTTTCGGCGAGGTGGTGCGAATGCTGATCGAAAACAGCAATATCCTTGGTTGTCTACTGTGGTTAGTGTTTGGGGTCGTGTGTGGGCAAAGGAGGACTTACATCGGCGACGACCACGAGCGAACCCTGCGCAAAGCCAGCGGGCCACTCTGAGCTCGTGGGCTTGAGGGCCATCTCAGGCGAGAGTTGTATTGATGGGTCTTGCTGCCAGATGCCCAGCCAGTTTGGGCCGTCCTTTGCGTGGACTGCCAGCACGCCAATCTTGTCTCTGATGAGTCTCACGCCGCAGAGGGCGTGTATCGTGGGCACCAGGTCTGTGGCGGCGCCGCGGGCCTCGTCGAATTCAATGGTGCGCAGGTACTTCATGCCGAGGACGCACCCGCGGTCGTTGTCGTTGTCGACGACGTACGTCCTGCGTATGGTGTAGAAGTTGAGCCGGAAGGGGACTCGGGGCTTGATGTCGGCCAGCGGTATGGAGCGCGGCCGCTCCAGCCGGGCCCGTTTGCCGTCCTTGACGTCTGAGGTGGCCACGTCTTCCACGGGGATGGGTATCAGTGTGACGAGGATGGTGAGGGCGTTGGCGCGGACCGTGTCGAAATTGGCCGTGTGTGGGAAGCGGTTGGGGCCCCCGAGACGCAGGTTCCTGACGGCCTGGGCGATGCGTGATGGGCGATCCGGCTCGCTGCTGGAGAACTGGGCCGCTGGCGAGTTTGCGAGCATGCCAATGACTTCGGCCCAGAAGCGGGTGTTTGCATCAGGGCTTTTGCGGACTTGGGTTGCGTGGTGGAGGGCGTGGGCGACGAAGCTTTCCAGTCGGGGAGGCAGCTCGTGGCTGCTGATGGAGAGGAGGGAAGGGGGGATTATGCCCTCGTCTGCGATGCCGGTTTGAAGAGCCTCCCAGTGCTGCAGGGTGTCGTTTGGCGGGTTGCCGGGCTCGTAGTCCAGGTCACTGGCGTCGAGGCGGTGGTCGATGGTGATATCGAGCTGCTCGGGGGTTTCCTTGAAGGGGATTTCCGGCAGAAAGGGCGACACGTTGCGAGCGCAGTCCAGGAAGCCGTCGAGTTCGGCGACGGTGAAGACTGTTTTGCCCCATAGCTTGACGACGACGCCCCAGCATGCGGCGTGGACGACTCTGGCTTCTTGGTCGGCCTCGAAGGCGTGTGAGCAGAATCCCGGCTGCACGAGCGGCTGCGGCACGCGGGCCTGGCATGGCGATGGATGCTTGAGTTCCTGGGCGACGGCTTTCCAGCCCTCGCCGCGGAGGTTGACGGCGGCAAGGGTTATTTTTGAGCCACAGAGGTAGCAGCTGTGGAAGGTGGCAAAGCTGTGCGTGAGGTCGTATGGGTTGACGTTCATGGCGGATGATGGACGGTCGAGCAGTGAGATGGCCTCATGGAGTCATGGGCTGCTTGATGGAGTTTGGAGTTGTGAGTGGGTGCGCAATGGCGTCGATAGGATGGATGACGGATTATGAGATTGCTGGGGTTGTATTTGTTCTTATATATACATATAAATATATATACTTTCAGGCTGGCTTGAATAGATGTAACGGCAGTCGACTATTCAATGGCTGTATATGCCAGAAGGCAGGGATGCAGATCTGAAATTGACCTAGTGCCTGCCGCGTTGTCTCAGGGCCTGTACGTGCCAGGGTCGACACATGTCTGGTCTGGTGCAGCTTCAAATGCATGTGGTTCGGGTCTGGTGTTTTGTGCAGACACCTTCAGGCATATTATTGCATGTCAACTGGTGGCGTCTGCGAAAATACCCTGCCACAGTGAAACAGATAAACACCCGGTTCCTGCGAAAGGATGGCGCAAAACACATCTACAAGTGCAATGATTCCTGGGAATTAGCTCTCAGGTCCGCCGGCGTCATTGACGGCACATTAGCAACGTGCTACACTTCTCCATCGACGTCTCTGAGCATCAGCTGGTGCGCATGTGCAAGCTTGGGTGCGTTTCCTCGCAATCCATTCACAAAGCCCCGCACGTGACAGCGCCATCGTCATGATGAACTTGCCTCAGCCGGACTTGACAATCCCATCCTCCCTACTCAATCACTATTCTATTACTCATTGAGCCGAAAGGCAACTACCACGCACAATGTGTGGCCGATACGCATTGGCGCTCGTAAGTCACCGTTGGCTCACACGTCACTCAGACAGCCCAACTGACGGAACTAGCGCGCCTCTCAAATCCGCCAAATGCTACAGGACGACGACATGCCCGTAGACTATTCGGTAGATGATGAAGACGGCCCCGGCGCCCCCCGGCAATCATACAACTTTGCTCCCGGATACCACGGTGTCGTCTACAGAGCCGATACCCCGGATTGGGGGGCGGGTCCCCGATCCCGACCTCACCAGGCCAAGGACGACGACGACGATGCCGCGCCAACTGAAGAGGATGCTGCCGCTGCCGCTGCCGCTGCTGCTGCCCCCACGGGCCAGGTCAAGTACAAGCTGCAATCTATGAAATGGGGTCTTGTTCCGTTCTGGACCAAGCGGAACCCCGACTACCAGACCATCATGAGGACCATCAACTGCCGCGATGACTCCCTCAGCACCCCCGGCGGCATGTGGGCATCCATGAAGAACAAGAAGCGCTGCATAGTCATTGCCCAAGGATTCTTCGAGTGGCTCAAGGCCGGGCCCAAGGAAAAGCTGCCCCATTTCGTCAAACGAAAAGACGGCCGCCTCATGTGCTTTGCCGGATTGTGGGATTGCGTGCAATACGAAGGTGCATACACTCGCTCGCCCACTCACCCATGAAGCCCATCTCGCCTAACAAGAAACAGGCTCCGACGAGAAGCTGTACACCTACACCATCATCACCACCGACTCCAACAAGCAGCTCAAGTTTCTGCATGATCGGATGCCCGTCATCCTCGACCCGGGCTCCGACAAGATCAAGCAGTGGCTCGACCCGGCGCGGTACGAATGGTCCCGCGAGCTGCAGTCCCTGCTGAAGCCCTTCGACGGCGAGTTGGAAGTGTACCCCGTCACAAAGGACGTGGGCAAGGTCGGCAACAACTCGCCGTCGTTTATCGTCCCGCTGCACAGCAAGGAGAACAAGTCCAACATTGCGAATTTCTTCTCGAATGCGCAGAAGAAGGGAGGCCCAGATGCCGAATCGGCCGCTGTCAAGACGGACGATTCCAACGTCAAGCGTGAGCCTGTGGAGGAGGATGGCAAGGACGAGCCCGCGAAGCGCAAAGAGCCGCCGACGAGCCCTGGACGCCCCGTGAAGAAATTGGCTTCGGAAAAGGCAAAGATTAGTTCGACCAAGAATGAGTACAAGAGCCCCAAGAAAATAAAGGAGCCGGGGTCGCAGAAAATTACGAGATTCTTTGGAAATGCGTCATGAGGGACGGTACGAATCTGGATGTGCAACGCGGTTCCCATCCCACCGTCAGGCAAGCGGACTCTCAAGACATTGAAATCAAGCTTTCAATAATGCTCGCAAAGGTGCCCTGCCGAATTGTTGCCATGCTTTGTCGTATGGTAGCTCCGCCGCTCCAAAGGGCTTCAACTCTGCTTCCTGCTTCATTGGGTCGTTGGCTTGTGCTGGTATTAGCCGCACCATCAGCTGCGGCACCATTGTCTCTTCGTGCCATGTCCGAGTTGCTTGGGTCTGTATTTTTTTTTTCTTAAAAAAGCAGCGCGAAATCCGTGAAGGGGTCGTAAAAGCCAGGTGTTCAAGGGGAGTGGCGGACAATTGGGAATTATAATGAAGCATTTATCTGGCATATATGCAACAATCTTCATCTGTACATGTACACGCCTATTTGGTGCCAGTGCTGGAATCGCACCACGCACGAATATCATGTCAGTAATATTCAACCGAGATACACCTCGGTGCAAAACCATGGAGACCCCCCCGTGTTACAGCTAACCATGCCGAAGTGTAAATTCCAAGTGCAATGACTATATCCCATATAGATGGTGGTGATACAAGACCCTCCTCCCATTGCACTATCCCCGGTACTCCCAAGGGCATTCCTGTTCTTATTTATGCCGGTAAATATGGAACTGTATGAAAATGCCGGGCATCATTCAAATCACAACCCGCCCAAAAAGAATATACACTCACGCCAACCTCTCCACCTCCAACGCGGCCAGTACAAAAGCCGACTCTCCCAACAAACTAGTCGGCACCAGAGGGAACATGCCGTCCAGGTAGCTCCATTCGGGGTAGACGTAGTACCACAGCCCGCCGTCCAGGTTCCCGGGCTGCAGCGCGAGCGAGGCGTTGATGCGGCGTAGGCAGCGCTGGACCGAGCCGTGACGGGGCCTGCGTGCGATACGAGCGCCGCGTCGATGGCCGTTGCGAGCGAGAAGCGGTCTAGCGGCCGCTTGGCGGCGTACGAGGCGTCGGTGAAGCTGGCCGAGGCCACGTCCAGCACCGACGAGAGGTAGCCGCTGTACTTGTCCCTGGCGGCCGGGTACCGCGCGATGGCGTATGCAAACGCCTGCGCGAGGATGCCGCTTTCGAGGGTGCTGCTGGCTGCGCCCGAGTCAACGATGCCCTGCTGCCGGGCCACGATGCTGTCGAGCATTCGGATTGATATGGCTTGTTGGGAGGCGCAGGCCGTGGCGGCGAGGAGCCATGTCGTAAGAGACGCATGATTTGTTCTATCCTCGACGTTTGAACGATTGGAGAGGAAGAGGTTGGGAGTGGCAAGTTGGAGCTGCTGCCGTCGTGGATTTCGTGCTCGCTTCTGTGCGACCTGTGATGCTTTCAAATTTGTGCGCGTTGCGCTGTGCTGTGCGCAAGACGCGGCTTATGGTGCATCTTGGTGAAGCGTCTGGAGCATCCAGCCCCACGGCTTCCATGGCATCGCTCGCGTGGACTGTGATTGAATCATCTCTATGGAGATTGAGACTTTGGCGTGCAGAAACCGACGGCGTGTTCTGTGGATTTGGCAGCTGGGAGGGATGGTGCATCTCGCCGAGCGTGGTTATGTTCAGTCGTCCGTGAACCACTCGCACAACCCTGACATTGATGGCGTCCCAACCCTAGGCAAGGCTGGTGAATAACGGCTATTAGCACGACATGGAACTTTACTCCGACGGGTGCATTCGTGGCATTTCCCACGATGCCGTGCGGAATGGTTGAATCTACCTCTCGACATCTCCAAACGCACACCTCATCCTCGTCCTCGTCCTCCTTCATCTCATCTATATTCCCTTGGCATCTCTGTCAACATGGGCGTCCTCATCCGCCGCCCTCCGCACGACGTCTTCGAAGCGCTCGCCGACCCATCCACCACCACGCGCTTCTGGTACACCAAGTCGTCGGGACGCATGAGCCGGGGCGCAACCCTGACGTGGGCGTGGGAAATGCACGGCGTCTCCACGGCAGTGCAGGTCGAGGCGGGGGGGGGCGCCCCCCGCTGGAGAGGAAGAGGTTGGGAGTGGCAAGTTGGAGCTGCTGCCGTCGTGGATTTCGTGCTCGCTTCTGTGCGACCTGTGATGCTTTCAAATTTGTGCGCGTTGCGCTGTGCTGTGCGCAAGACGCGGCTTATGGTGCATCTTGGTGAAGCGTCTGGAGCATCCAGCCCCACGGCTTCCATGGCATCGCTCGCGTGGACTGTGATTGAATCATCTCTATGGAGATTGAGACTTTGGCGTGCAGAAACCGACGGCGTGTTCTGTGGATTTGGCAGCTGGGAGGGATGGTGCATCTCGCCGAGCGTGGTTATGTTCAGTCGTCCGTGAACCACTCGCACAACCCTGACATTGATGGCGTCCCAACCCTAGGCAAGGCTGGTGAATAACGGCTATTAGCACGACATGGAACTTTACTCCGACGGGTGCATTCGTGGCATTTCCCACGATGCCGTGCGGAATGGTTGAATCTACCTCTCGACATCTCCAAACGCACACCTCATCCTCGTCCTCGTCCTCCTTCATCTCATCTATATTCCCTTGGCATCTCTGTCAACATGGGCGTCCTCATCCGCCGCCCTCCGCACGACGTCTTCGAAGCGCTCGCCGACCCATCCACCACCACGCGCTTCTGGTACACCAAGTCGTCGGGACGCATGAGCCGGGGCGCAACCCTGACGTGGGCGTGGGAAATGCACGGCGTCTCCACGGCAGTGCAGGTCGAGGCGGTTGAGCCCGACCGTCTCATCCGCTTCCGATGGGGCATGTACAGCCAGTCAAGAGGGCGGTCGACTCCACGGCGGGCTTCACCTTTGTGCTGAGCGCGTTCAAGGCCGCGCTGGAACATGACGTGACGCCGAGGGTGACGGCAGATGCGTTTCGGTGTGATTGACGGCGTGATGAGAAGATTGTGTCGTCGTCGCTCAAATGCTTGCGCTAGTGACATGTCCGCTGGGGATCGATTGGACGATGGAACCAGCCTCGGGCCTTGTCTACGTTGGGTATTTTCTACCCTGGCAAAACGAAAATAGTAAAACGAATCTTCACCTTTGACTTGGTACCTGGCACTTGTTTTTCTTCGCAATACTGTTCGAGCCGAAGTGACAAACGCATCCTCGCTGACGGCACGCACAAGCAAGATTCCGTCCAAAGTCATGTCACCTTGGAAAAAATCAAGGTTGGCAAATTGTACCTGCATATGCTGCACAACAAATACGGACTCTGCTGCCGGGGCGGAGGCACACTAGTGGTTGAAAAGCTTGGCCTGCGTGCATGTGGCCCTCCATCATCATGGATTATCCGGCAACACACCACAGCCACACCGATGCACAGCCGACGAGGACAGGGTAGCCTTGCGTTTGCTTATCTAGAGAGGTTCTTCTCCAAAAAAGGGGGGGGCCAAGAGGCAATCAAGCGTGTTTGTCAAGTCTTGTACAGTCCTCCCCCTGGATTATTGTAAATGAGTGACCTGGTCGGGAGGCTAATACCCAATAAACAAAGTTTTTGAAAAAGAAAAGTGGAGCCTTAAAGTATCTGGGATCTTCACGATATTTCTTGATAAGCTGAGGTCTCTCTTATAAGGGTCAATGAAACCGTATAAATTAGCTTAACACCTTACAGCTTAAAATATGTGGACCACAGATAGTGCACTATTCCCTGCCTGTAACTACCCTGTCAGGTCACTTATGAAGAATAATTCAGGGGGAGGACTGTACTCCTTGCACACAACATAGTAATACCGCTAGGTACCGGCTCAGGGTCCAATGCCATATATCGGGCAAGGATTGTGGGAATTATATACCATTCATCCTATGTAAAAATATTCTGAGACTGTAATATCCATTCGCCTGGTAATATAGCGTACAAGATGTAAAAAACAACCAAAAAAAAAAATTGGTAACAGGCTCCGGTCATTATGTTCATTGCTCCTTACGTGCGGTCTGGATTCGCCACGCGTAGCGTAGGGGTGGTACTCTTTTCCGGCAGAAACTCCAAGCTGCCGGACCTGTTTCTCCACGAGTACAGGCCGTGAGCTCTCGAGTCGGAGAAGGGGTTGGACAGATTGTCCATGGAGCTCCTGGAGGTGCCGCCAGACCGGCCGGGAGTGCTCACGCTCGCAGCCGCGTCGCCGTCTTCCTGCTTCCGGCGGAAGAAGAACCAGATGATGCCTATGGCGATGACGGCGACGCCGCCTATGCAGCCGAAGATGATGCCCAGCATGGTCGGCACCTTGATTCCACTGTCGTTGCTGCCCGATGAGTTGGTGTCGCCCGTCTGCGTCGGCACAATCGTGACGGTTCGTGCCACGCCGTCCACCGTCGTGACTTGCGGCGAGACGGACGGTGCCGGCGTAGATTGAGCCGACGGCGAGGCGGAATCGCTCGGCGATGAAGATGTCGATGAAGCGCTGCTACTGCTACTGCTACTGCTGCTGCTGCTGCCCTTGGAGCCCGCTATCAAATTCGCATTCACCAGCACGTAGCTGTATCTGCCTTTGCCGCCGCACATGTCGAACGGGTACCCGGGGCAGGGGAGGCTGCATCCGTCCTTTTGCGACGCCGTGTCGGGTGTGTAGTTTGTGCACCAGCAGTTGCTGGACTGCATCACCGCGTAGGCATACTTGTCGTTGCACGTCGAGGTGCACTTCCCCGAGCTCTGGTAGATATCGGCACCTGTAAGGGAAAAAAAACAGCTCACGGTTAGTTCACCCCGCTCAAAAGAAAAGTCGACAAGAAAAATGCATTTGGCAAGGGCGGTTCCGCTGTACTTGGGCTAGAGTCAGACGTGTTGATGTCTGCACACAGGTTCTGTGCCGAGCACAACGCCGCGAGCAGCGCCAGGCTGAGCACCCGTGAACCGACCATGTTGTGATGTGTGGAAATGTCCCACGATTGGGAAATGGGCAAAGGGGGGGGAGGCAAACAGAAAAGAAAACTAAAGTAAAAGAAACAAATAGGAAATCACCCGCTCGTCCGTCTAATCCGTCATGACGCGATGGAAACTGGAAGAACAGGAAGAGAAAGATCGGCCGGGGAGACAATTGTGTGAATGAACAAAATGCGTGCCTTACGGCCGGAGGCAACCTGTTCCGGAACGAAGCCGAATCCCCTCTCCTCCCCCCTTGCTTGGGGCTCCACTGCTGTGCCCGTCGTGCCTTGGAAGGTTGGCATGGCGTGAACTTTAACACGAGGGGTTATAATGATGTGTTGCACCGCGTCAATTTTTGTTGATTGCTGTCTCTTCTCTCTCCATCTTTTTTCTAGGAGGGAGTGAGGATCCGGCGGTGCAATTGGCTGGGTGCAGGGCCAAGTCTTCTTCTCGCCTCGCAGATGGACGCCTGGCCCTTTGTCCTGTTTGCGATCAATGATGCACACACATGCAACTTTCTTCATTTACGACTCTGTGGGCCGCAGCACACATGTGCAATTAATTGTGTCAGGAACCAGGGGCCGGTGGCTGAGTGTGTGGAACCCCAGGTGCCGCCTGGTACGTCCACGCACCAGACATTGAAGTCGACGGGCAATCCTTCAGCAGGACAAGGGGGGATGTGCAACACCACCAGCGCCTCGCCAGGAATAGTAATCCGCTCACGGTATTCTTATTAGTACCAGCCGGACATATAATAGGCCGCGTCGTGCCCGTACGATGGAGACAAATACTCACCCAGACCTTCCATGATGGCGCTAAATCGTGCCGTCGCTGAGATCGCGATCCACGGCGACACCAAAACATATTCTCCACACTGTAAGATGAATAATATAATAGTAATTGTTTTCTTTACTCACGTATTTGGGTGTGTGAAATTTATAAGTAAAGAATTGCTCATACAAGACGCTGATGTCAACGAGCAAGCTGCCCTAGGGCCGCGACAAGCTTCCGCTTAGAGCGGCACCTGGGGCTTTTCCTTTCAAATTCGAGCCCGGCCTTTGAAAGCTGCTTGTTAAATCAAGGTTCGCAATACTACAAACAGAATACCATAATCCCTATAGAAAATTAACCAATCAAAGGCCTGGGGATGCCTGTATTATATATTAGCACATTAAGGAGGTAAAGCGGAAGCTTGCCCACGTTCCGTATTCACTCAACCTTTTTTATCCACTTTGCCTAATTATAAGTTTATAAAATATCAATATTGCGTGGTTAGTTACGGTTCCCTGGCCTAGGTACGGCCAAAACACGCCGTTATTAGATGTCTTGCATTTAGCTTATTTATTGATTATTATTTTCTTAATTTAATAATAATATATTAATTTGTTTACCTAGCTGTTGTGATATTTACCACCCCAAGACGTGGCGTTACTAGGCGCGGCCAAAATGCCCTATGCACCAATTACCTTGATTGGCTGGAATAAGGATAACCCGGCCCGGTGCATTAGGCCCCACACGGGTCACCACGGCAATAACACCACGTAACTATTAGAGGTCACGATGCCTCGCACACACAGCTAGCTAGCTTCTCTTTTTATGATGCATATTGAATTGACATTATTACACTTTCCCTTATGAAACCTACACCCTCTCTTCCTGCGAAATTTTTCTTGACACCTCCCTGACAAGGCATTTAGCTAATCTTTTAGAGGACAACCCAGAAAGATATGACTTACCACTGCCAATGCAAGGCTCGATGGACGAATGGTGGCTTCTTATACTTTGCTTGGTAGCCTGCTCGAAAGTTTTCCAAGTCTAGGTATGAGCCTCGATAGTAGGGGCATCCTCCGGCCTGTCCACAGTTAGGGGCATTACTCAGTTAATAATTGAAAATACATACCAGCTCCAGATACTTTGCAATGTCGTCATGCTCTGGTCCATCAGGTAAGATCAAGCTTCCATTGCTCTGCCAATGATATTTTTGTTCTTTCAACCTCGAAAGCCCTCTCTAGGCCTTGGACAAATTCATCAATGACGGCCGATTGGTGTTGATTCACAGTGGGAAGATAATCCATAGGATAGAGAATCCGTATCGGTTTCTTATGACCATGGCTTAGAACTTTTTACGAGTTATAAAATGTGCATTCGAGGGGAGTTTCCATACCAGACTGAAACAAAATCTGGGAACCGAGTGATATCCCGCCCGAAAAACACCGGCATATCAAATTTACTAACAAGTTAGTCACAACGTAGGTGATTGCCATGGATAAGGATTCAGAGGATAGATTGACTTACGCAAACTGACCTATAACGCCAGAAGTGTCCATGATTCCGGTAGAAGGGCGAATTGAATGGCAACTATTATAGTGGGCAGGCTTACGGCCACTGCCATTTGCTGTCACGCCAAGTTAGAGGGTGACTCTCTGCTTAGCACAGAGACGTAGGCACCTACTGTCAGACCCAAGAGAAGACATTTGAAGTCTAGCCAATCGACGAAGCTGTCCCAGAAGCACTGGCGTGGCTGTTCCCAGACGGCACTTCAACGTCGGTATCCATCGCCGCGCGGGTTGAATGGCGCCGCGAATTCTACGCACTCTAGGGGCTCTTCCCTCATAATCATGGCTTGTAGTTTGACCTTGCCGACAATTATGGCGCCCGCATCGATGAGAGTCTGAACACATGCGGCATTCTTGGAAGGTGGCTCATACAAATCTTCCCATGCGCGATTGCACAGCGTAGTTTTGTGACCGGCAACGTCAGTATTATCCTTGACGCTGATTCTAGCTCCATCTAAAGGGCGCGAGGCCGAAGGCTTGAAGTAGCTTCGAGATGGAACAATTACCCTTCCATTGATACCTGCTTGTACCGAGTTGAGGGTGAGAAATCTGAATTGTCAGCAAAGCTTTTTTTTCGTCTCATCTTGTTGTCCGATCTTTCTCATGGGCACTTACTCGTCCGACCTGTCAGATGCAGGTTTTAAGCTCTTCATAAAGCAAGCGTTAAAGTCTCGGTAGATACTCCAGGGCTGCCAAGTTTTCCCATGAGCGAAAACATATGGACCGGGTTTGATCTGGAACGCGGAGCTTCCGTGTAGAAAATGCCAGTTCGCAGTCCAAAACCTTCCGAGCTAGAAGGTTTGGAAGATTCTCCATCACTCGAAATTCCGTATTGTCGCCATCGAGAAAGGTATTTAGAGCCAGCCATTGGCACAATACTTGACCGCTGGTGCCGACCAAGATTGGGTATATCACGTCGGAGGCCACAAGGTCTTTCGACTCGACAGTGCGGGCGTGCCAGACTGCGAGGGGCCAATCTCTTACCGGTACATGAAGTGGTCGCCACACACTAGATGAAATGTAAGCTGGCGGACTGGTACAACTACAAAAATTCTTACGTGATTGTTTGACAGCGGGATTGCATCATCTGCTTCGCACTTCCCCGTACAATTCTTCCACAATCAATTTTGTAGCTTCTGGCGTAACATCTTCGGATATGTGAGGCTAGAATCTTAAAACCGTTGGCCGTGAAATGGGCTTCACTAATTACCGATGTGTGTCATCAAACTAGGCTGCGATTCAAGGTCTAATTCGACCCCATAACATGGAAAATTCGACTCGTTGTCTAAACTGAACCCACATACATGAGCCTGTATCTGCTAGATAGTGTAGTAGTATTTGCAGACCTGATAATCCAATGCCCGCACTTGTTTTGCGGCTAGGGTTTCCTTGAAATAATTTTCAAGTTCTGGAACGTAAATTGCCTCAACAAGTGCTTCATCTTTGAAGTCAGATAGACCCATCTTAGTTTTCACTCGACGAATTTCAAACCCTTGTTTATCCGGAGCCAAATACGGAACGAGCGGTCATAAGTTCCGAATATGGATGGTTTGAGGAGATCGCCGAGGGTTGTGAAGAGAAAACTTCTCTTTTGGAAAGTAGTGAAAGCTGTAAGGCTCGACCGTGTCCCACAGCTCGTCTCTGTCCAGAAAATAAAAGAGGGCCACTGCCAGACGTGTTACGTACTTGTATTGTACACTTGTACACATATGAGCTAAAATACTCATTCACTGGACGAATTTACGTGGGGGAACTTTCTTAAAGCAGGTAGCAACGTGGCTGAAGACTTTGGCGAGGCTTGCAGATGAGGTAAATTGTTAAGCATCTAGACATATGCCACAATACTCGATTCTGAACTGTTGAAGCGCCCGAATCGCCCAATTATATTCATTACCCATTCTCTTGGAGGGGTTTCATTGAAGAAAGTGAGCAAGTACCACCCCGAAGTTGGGGTACTGGACTAATTCGCTCCCGCTCAGGCATTACTTCTGGCGCATGAAGATGTTTACGATGCTCGATTTGAGCTAGTCATTCACACAACTCATCCAGACCCACGAGAGGCTTCCGCTAAATTTGCGCATGGTGTCTGCAAGTCGCAGCCGGCTCTTGGGTGTGAAGAAGGCAAAGCTTCCATGTTTTATGACGGGGCAACACTCTCCCAACTCAGAATTCGTTGGCCGCACTGACATACTCGATTTAATGGATGACTATCTTTTGCCCCGGCAAACCTCAGATCCGCAGCGCGTTGAAAGAACACAGTTATACGCCGTATGTGGCATGGGAGGCATCAAAGACATTCTCAGCTGGCGAAAACGGCACCGTGATGTATCCGGAGACGAGCTTGAATCCTGCGAAGCCGAGCAGACTGGAGACCATGGACATTTGACTGGCGACTCCGGTGCGAAGACCATGACAGACATTCTGCCCGAGATGGGATGGTACGTGCGCTGGCTGAAGTGAACCAGTTCAACCATGGCCGATTTCGCCCACATCCCTACTGCGCCACTGGCAAGAACCGAAGTTTGTGAAACAACTTGTTCTAGATTAGATACCCATTACGGAGTACTTGACTTGTATAAAGTATTTTACTATTGAGTAACATGAGCTTAATAATATAAATTTTTATATGAATATTCAAACGCATCGCGATACGTTTGTAGGGTATATTTCGGCATGTCACTGTTCCCTGGTTTGGGTAACTTACGACCAGGCACACGGTATCTTTATTGGCCCACCTGATGCAGTGCTTGCATGTGTACTGGGAAAGCAATATGAATAGAAAAAAAATCACTCGGTGTTTATACAGTCTTTTCTTTTGTATATCACGATTCTCTAGTTTAGGTATAACTGCAAAGGTCCAACCCCATTGAGCCAGCCTTCCGGGTAGGTAGCGGCCTGAGCCCTTTAACCGCGGAGGCAAAAAGGGTCCCAGCCATGATGGGTCTGGTCTGGTACGAATTGAGCAAGCTTCGCACAGCTCGCTCAGTTGACACTATAAGGGCCACCTCGACAGGTAAAGGTCGGGCTTCTGAGCCCAGACCATAATAATAACTAGGCATACAGTCTTTGTATAATCGGCTTTACCCGACACAGTGATGGCACGAATATTGGCTTAGTTTGAAGAATAAGCTAAGACTGATGAAAGAAAAGAAAACAAGACAAGATAAGACTAGTTTTCTTCTCGAGAGCTTATTAAGCTGCTAGCGGGAACTGTCCCTAGTCTATCTGTAAACACAACTAGCAACCGGGAGAGATATTTTATTTCCCTTTAATTAACGTAAGCTATTAGCATACCAATGTTAAGAGCGATTCTTGCGCTCGGTTGCTTGTTGTTCTGCCTCTCGCGTCACTAGTTATGTGGCCCTTTTATCCAGTTTTATCCAGGCGCGCAAGTGTTGCAGTTCCTGCCGGTTCCGTCCAAGCTAGTCCAGCCTGTCGGCTTGGCCGGAACGCTTTCTCTTCTTGGCGAGCTAACTTGGCAGTTTATTGACGGGGCGAAAAAAAAAAGGCGACATTGTTGAATTCAAAACACCATCTTTAAACGGGTTGTGCTATTTGTGCGGCAGAAAATCGTTATTCGTGCGGCACCAGACCCGATTTGGATAAGTGGCCAGTTGGCCACACCCCCCCATACATTTTCACATACACCCGCATGGAAAAGGCCATAATTTAAAAAACAAAGCTGGATTCAATTTGAATCTATCAATTTTTCAATAACGCGAGCCCGGGCGAGCGCCGGCAGGGCTCCAATCGCTCAAAAATACTGCCGCTTACTCTGTGGCTTGTCTACTTGTTGATTGAGTTTATGTGTTATTCATAGCGTTTATTGACCGCTGCCTTGACTGTATTGCGAGTCTTCTTCGTTATTGCGTCCCGAATTATTGTTCTAGCTCTGCCTGCGTTACTGTGCGCCGGATGCTTGGATTGACTTGGCCTCAATAACTTTAAGAGCTTAATTGAGGCCTTTCACTTGGCTGTTAACTGCTATTATCATCGGAATTTAATGATGTTGTGTTGTTACAAAAAGGCGGCCCGGGCGGCTGCAGCCTGGATTTTTATTGTGTGCCGGGCGGTTATTGTGAGGTATTTTCGTGATAATCCTTGCGTTGCCAGGCCAATGTATGTAAATTTATATGGGGGGGTGTGGCAGCTGGGGGGTGCGCCCCAATTGGGCTTAGTGCCGCACGAATAAAGATTTTCTGCCGCACAAATAGCACAACCCCTTTAAACAGTCTTAAGATTCTTGGCTCTTCTGGTTTGTAAGCCGAATTTGACGCTCATTATACAAATCTATTTTGAGCATCTTGGGGCCGCTATTATCGCCGGAAACTTGGATATTACCCAGGGATGATATCCGCGCAGCCGTGGCAGCAACAGTCAGTCACACATTATGCCGCGTCGAGAGGCAGAATTCCTGCCCGTCCAAAATTGGTCCGCAAACAGACATGTCCCCTGGAACTATTGAAGATTCTTGTGCCACAAAATGATAGCTCACGCAGCCATTCTGGGAATATTGTACTACAATGGGCGGACCCCCCCGGCTCGCGGTGGATTGTTATCGTGGATGCTCATCCACCATCTCTCCACCTGTGTAGCCGTGTAGCTGAACACCGAGGTCTCACCGTCTGTCAGCATTCCTTCCAAAAAGCTTATTCATTGGGACCTTTGAAATTTTTTTTCCCTCATTTTCAAAATGGCTATATAATCGGCGTGTTATGGCTGCTCATCCGATCTTGTGTCCCGGCTGAATAATCACTCGCCTCTATTCCCAACTGTATACACTCGCTCAAGTCGAAGCTTACAGGCCCTCGTCTGTTTGATCCGCAAAAGATATTTTTTTTTGTGAAATATTAATATCCATACTCATTCTTTGCTTTGTTCGGGTATTGTTTGAACATCTGTCAAGATGAAGGCCTCTCAGATTCTCGCCGCCGGCGCTCTTGTCGCCCCCGCCCTCGCTCAGAACCGCACCGAGATTGTCACCATCACCAACACCGCCTATACTACGTACTGTCCTGTAGGTTTTAGACTCGTAATATTCACTTGCTCCTTCTTCGTGTACTAATATTGTCAGGTGCCTACCACCATTCCCATTGGTAACGTCACTTATACCATCAGCAAGGCTACCACTCTTACCATAACCAGTACGTTGCCATTGCTCCCTGCTTTTTCGAAAACATGTTTCTAAATTGTACTGTAGACTGCCCTTGCACCTTGACCAAGACTGGCTGGTTCAAGCCCACTCAACCTGCCCAGCCTGAGCATGGCGGCAACAACGGCGGCAACGGCGGCAATCCCGGAAGCAATGGAGTCAACCCGGGAAGCAACAGCGGCAACACTGGAAGTGGCAGCGGCAGCACTGGAAGCAGCACAGGTAGCACTGGAAGCAGCAGCGGTAGCACCGGAAGCAACAGCGGCAGCACTGGAAGCAACAGCGGCAGCACTGGAAGTAGCACCGGTAGCACTGGAAGCAGCAGCGGCAGCACTGGAAGCAACAGCGGCAGCACTGGAAGCAACACTGGCAGCACCGGAAGCAACAGCGGTAGCGCTGAAAGCAACGGCAGTAGCACTACTGCAACTGCTGCCCAGCCTACCGGTACCTCTGTCGTTGTTGCCGGCGCCAACGTCAACGGCTTGAGCACTGGAGCCATGGTTGTTGCTGGCTTTGCCGCCATGTTGCTGTAAGAAGTTCATAATGGCGACAATCATGTACCTAGGTTCCTAGGTATGTGGCGTTGCACTCTTCTACAAGCCACTTATACACAAGTCAGCTATATTTCTAGATGTAAATTTTACAAATGGGGTGATTTGTATTAATCTAATGGTTGTTCGATGATGGAATTGGATAGTTGGCTTTGTACTTGTTTAAGCTGCAATTCATAATACATACGCTACATAATTTGTGAACCGAGACAAGAAAAAAGAGCCCCAAGGAGGTTTACTGACGAAAAGGGGCTATTGTCTCGGATACCATGTGATTGAGGACATTTACTGATACTAGTATGCATTTGTGAAGCCACGACTCTCGTACGTGTATGCTAATAATAGATATTTTTATTCGTAAGTTTCATAACAGGGGATATCTTATATATGCTAAACACATGGAATACAACGTAAAAGCTCAGTATCATCCCAGTCAACCTGAGAAATTACAAGGTTACGAGGTGCTGGCTGATTTCAACCCTCGCCACCCCCTTTTTCAGCTTCTAATCCCTCTGCCCATCTAGTTTCCCTCCCAGACATCTCCATACGAGCCCCTCAGAAGAAAATAGGCATACTAGCCTGGTTCTCATAATCGACATTGGACGAGTTACACTCAATGCGGTCCTTGCAGGTGCCAAAGATACGGTCCCACAGACGAGTCTGCTTGCCGTAGTTACCGCTCGACTTCCAGCCCTTGCGGTGGTGCAAGTCGTGGTCCTCGATGATGAGCTCGGCGTTGAACATGCGAAGGAGAAAGCTGAGCACGTTGGGGGGCGTGGCGTGAATGCGCAGGCCGCTGTGGCCAGCCAGTTCGGCAAAGACGACGTACTGGTGGCAGATCCACCACTCGTAGAAGCCCATGGGCATGCCCATCAGCTTCATGGTGAAGTAGGTCAGGAGCGGGATGCCGGCAATGTCAAAGATCTCCTGCTCCGTGTCGGCGTAGAGCGCCAGCAGCGGGTTGGGGTGCTTGGTGAGGTGGTGAGTGCGGTGAAACTGCCAGAGGCTGCCCATCTCGTGCATCAGGCGGTGGTACCAGTAGAACCAGAAGTCGAGGATGATGCCGTACAGGCCGGCCTCGAGCGGCACCCACCGCCAGTTCATGTCGGCCGGCGCCTCGGCGGCGCGGTAGGCGAGGAAGACGGTGAAGATGGGGCGGAACGTGGACGTGGAGATGAGCGACTTCATCACCTTCCACACGCCGACGTCGGGGACGCCGTCTCGCTCGTGGGCGTCGCCGTCCAGGAAGCCGTACCGGTGGCCCATGTAGCGGAGCATGTGGATCTCGCGGATGGCAATGAGCTTGAAGGCGGCGCTGTAGAAGAAGAATGCTTGGAGCGCCGTCAGGTTGAGGCCCGTGAGTCGGACGTAGAGGTGGTGAAGGACGAGGGGAATGGCCGCGTGAGAGATGACCCAGCGGTGCATCAGCCAGTCTGACAGATAAGGGACCTTTTCGGACTTTTGATGGACGGGGACAATCTCGTGCAGATTCGTGGGATGCACGTCGATGATTTCGTAGAACCAGTGGGCGAGGTTCCATTGCCGGCGGTCCTTGCTCCGCCAGGTAGACTTCATCGAGTCCCTGGGGTTGGGCTTTGTATCAGACATGATGGCAGCAAGGTGTCTGTGCGAAGCTTTTAAGCCCTTTTTTCTTTGCTAAAAAGAAGAGCAAACTGGTTCACAAACGGCTGTGCTGAGTTTGTCTACGAGTGCGAGGTGTTGTTGTTCTGTTCTGCTATTCAAGTTGGAGAGACCCGGCGACACGGCTGTATTATATGCCTGGCTCGCCACTCCCAGAATTGAAGTCTCAACAAGGTTGAGCCTAAGCCTTGCAGTGCGTCTGTGGAGGGAAGACGGGGGACGGAGGGCCGGGCCATCTCTGCCATCCCAACAACATGTGAAGGGGATCCTCTCATCATGAGATAACCCCAGGTTTTTGACCAATGGTTTTCTTGTCAGGTTGCCCCGGATTGGACTGTGAGTCTCCGGATTTTGACGGCCCCCCCAACTGCGTCATCTCTACTTTGCATCTTTGAACCAGAACGCAATCAACACGCGGCGGCAGAAGGCTTGGATTTGCGGGGAGAGTCGTTCTCACATGACATTCACAATCGCCTGGAAATCAATCACTGTAGGTCCTTGCCTATACCTGGGCACCTGCTTATTGCTATTGTGATGAACCATCCAGCGGAATAAGTTGTGACAGCCTGGGTTACGTGTCCTTCACAAGGCGTCCCTTTGCAGCCACCATAACCAAGAGTAATTTTTTCAGCCCCAGGGTCTGACCTCATTTACGGTCGCACATTAGATTAACTCCGCAAAATCCCGCCAAATTGATTTTTACACTTTAGGGTTATTACTCTTTTTATTAAAATAAATCTTATAAAAATCATAAAAAATTAAGTTTTAATATTTTTAAATATATTTATAAGTCTAATAACTTATTTTATTTTTTATTATTTTTTAAGTTTTTTAAGTTTTTTTTTAAAAATAACCCTAAAGTAACCCTAACCCTAATATATAATTTTTAATAGTAAAAATATTTTAAAAAATTAAAATAAAATAATTATAAAATTTTAAAATAAAAATTATATATTATATGATTTTAAGAGAATTATTTAAAATTATCTTATATTTTTTTAAGTAAATTTTAAGTAGTAAAAATTAATTTGGCAGGATTTTGCGGAGCTTAGCTAATGTGCGACCGTACTCATTGTCTCGCCCCTCGATTTGGCTGCCCGGGCCGCCACGTGGACGGATCGGATTGCAATGGATCTCAAAGGGCCAGTGGGCTGATCCTCCCCGTGTTTCCCTTTCCTAATCCGGTAATGGTTGCGATTGCGAGCAGCTATGAGTGGTTGGGCTGGAATCTCGGTGGCGCCGGAGTTGCCCTTTGACTGTGCTTCACATGAAAAAAAGAAAAACAAAAAAAAAAAAAAAAAATTGGTAATTACTATCATGTTGATGGGGTTTCAAATTTCATCTACTAGGTATTCACGAGCATCTTAATATCCCTCCATTCATCGAGCCCTGTTAAAAGGACCTGCCAACTCCAAACGAAATATCACTGATTGACATGACGAGTAATGGAGAGCCCGAATGCCCATTAAACCGAATCTCAAACATCAGGACATATTCCTAGTATCTGCACAAGCCGTCATGTCCGAGTCCTCCCCTGCGTCTTGCGCGTTTCGTCGACTTGCCGTGTCAAAAGACGACTCTTATTTCTTTTGAAATGTTTCAGTTCACGCAACTTACAGTCAACGTCATGGCTTGCCTGTCAAAACACGAGTTCTAAATTGGTTTGTCTGTTTGCACCTTTCAACAATCTTCACCACCGGGCTTGACATCTTGTCAGGTGACTCTAGACACACATCATCGACCAATAAACAAAAGTTATATCGCGGGCCCGCTTGATATAAGTAATCCCTTCCTCCCGTAGTCCCGATGATGCCGTCTTCCGGAATATCATGTGCCTTGTTCCAGTTACGTCTCAATTCATCCATGGCCCATTTGCTAAAATGGTGGCGGACCTGATCAGGGGATGCGCTATCAAACTGTGATTGGTCGTCCATTACTGCTAACTGGTGCCGCATTAGTAAATCTTGCTCATTCTCTTTCCCCTCAAGTGAATTCTTCAACTCCCCCCTAATCTTGGCAAGCATGCGCTCCCGAGCAGCATCATCGCCATATGAAACGCGGTACAGAACCAAACCCAAGGCGCATTGGGGTCAAGGAACTCGCAATTATGAAGCAAGAGTAGTGGATCGGCCATTTTATTCAAGATCTCTGCGGCATAGGCTTCGCGAACAGAATCTTCGAGTGGGTGGGCTTTTGCAACCTCCTCGAAAGCTGCTTCGAAACGTTCAAGGTCATGTTCAGGGACATCTCGCAAAGCTTTGCCTATTGCATCGCAGTACGCTTCCGCACGCGCCCTATCGGCGTCAGTGAGCTGCCTTGCCTTTTTGGCGTGGATAAAGCGTGCTTGAAGGCGCTCGTGGGTGCTGCGAGCAAAAGATATGTTGCTGCGATAAACCTGTAATGGTGTGAGAAATATGCGGTTCACTTGTGTAATTAAATAACGTGAAGGCCGAGGTGAGGTTGCAGGAACTGATTGATGTTTTGCTGCTAATTAACCAACCTGTTGCACATCGGGATTAACATGATTGACTACTTCATACTGGTTAAGCGCATAATACCAGTTGACGTGTCGCTTGCAGCAGAATTAACCCTATCAGAACAGTCCAGTCACCAGAAACCTGGAGGAATACACTGGGCAATTGCCTACCCATTGAGTTTTACAGCCAATTGACTTGAAATGCACCAGTATTTCAGGTCCTGTGGGCACCATTACATGTAGGTTCTAGACTACCTACCTAGGTCATGATGTGACCGTCACGCGAAAAAGGGGCATGGCCACGCCGCGATATTGATGATAGATGCAAATCTCTGTTGAGCACACTGGAAACCCTGAAAATTGCCAGTACCCTCTAAGACCCTGTTGTGAAGGCCCCTGCTGTGAGTCTCAATCTAAGCCCTAATTTGAGCCCTAGAAAAAGCAACTATCATGACCAACAGCCTCTGAATATCACCTTCTCACCCAACACCTAGATACCGTGCGAGATTGCCTGGCCCACAACATGCAACAAATCACGATCTCTTTCCATGGGTATGCGGTAATCACTTTCTGTGGACTCCAGTAGCCGTTGGATCGAGAAAGTATTAGGACGTGAAAGAACAGCCCGGAACTGAGGTAGTTGCGGCTTATCGCCGTTTCAGTGCAAATTGTCTATGGGCCATCACCTAGATTCGTTGACGAATAATGCCTTCCCCCCAATCCCTTTCCTGCGTGCTACGAGGTTTGCTAGTTGAAATCCTCTTCTATAACTGGTATATCTCGCTTTGGATCTTCCCGCGAAGGCTAGACATTTTGATAGCAGGAAAATCACCATGCTTGGATCAACGGTCCTGACAGCTCTGCTGTTTGCTTCTCAAGTCACTACCACCCGGCAATTACAAGACTATATCTTTCCTCATGAGAACTTGGGCTTAAGCAGTAAATGCTTTGCTGCGGTCAACACGACGGTCCCGTCTTGCCCTGGCTGGCTCTCTCCTTACGCTGGCATGTGAGTAGAGATTATTAGTCTGAGACTTGGTTGCTAATTGTATGTGCTTGTTTCAGTGAAGCAGCCAGTTTTGGTATTCTAGGAGAGACTGAACTTCAGGCTCTCTGTGGTAGCACTTGTCAAGATGATCTTATTCATCTAAAAGGAATTATCGCTGGGGCATGCACCGAGAGTCAGGATGTCATGGTTCCCGGTGGCATTGCTTACCCAGATATGTTTCGCCACGTCAAGGGTGCCCTGTGCTATTTGTGTTCTAACTCTAGCATGTAGCTACATTCCTCATTGATCGATTCCTCTACGCGGCTGGCCTGGCATGCCTCAAAGACTCGTGAATCCGAACCAGGCGACTATTACTACGAAGCTAATGCAATGGTAGAGCCACTGGCAAATATTGCGATTTAGTGGTCGTGCCGTGGATGAATTCAACTGAGCCATCACTTTGCTTCTGGGGCTCTTATGGTGATGCTACGATGGTGTTCCGTATTCCATCGACTCGCCCTGGTTATTGACGATCGATATACAGTTTTGGGCTTGTTGATTAATTGGTTGCTCACTGGTGGCTGTTAGCTGTTGTTGAAAAGTCCCATTGGCACACGTATGCCCAAAAAAAGAAAAAAAAAGAAGAAGGTACGGTCCATGTCACCCATCTATAAAGAGCAACGCGCATTATCTTACTGCAGTGTCTGCATTTCAGGCTTTAGTGCGTTCTGAATACGAGTGTCTTCCGGTAGCCTCGCTGAGACACCCGGCACCAACCCGGCACAAGAGAACCACAGATATGGTGGTTGTGTATCTCCTGGCCTCTTGTATTGCGTGTTTAAAAGTACTAGATATAATCTGCAACGACGTTCTTCAGTTCGTTGACTGTTGGATGACTTGAACCCGGATTACCTGTGGATTCACCTGGAGGTAGTAGTAGAACTCCTGTCGATTATATATACTGCTCTACTTAAAGCACGGCGATTTTGGGAAATCAACGTTCCCGATGGCAGAACAGAAGACAGAATGTCTGAAGAATATGCCTTCAAAATTGAACGCGCTGTCTACGATACGCACAGCAAACTGGTTGACGAGCATGAAGATTAGTCCCTGGACCGATTAACGTGACAGTTACAGAAAATGCTTTGCCTCGTCCGTGGCTTGCCATGGTTTCAAATGCAGAGTCGAATTTGCTTTTAATTTGTTTCGGAAAATAGGAGGATGTAAATCAACCACTCTTTGGTATCGTTCTTCATCCAGATATAGTTACAAAATACTGTAACTCAAGGCAAAATATAAAGCTTTAGCAGGGCAAGCATACAGGGCCGGCCCTGTTCAGCCTTGGATGAGAAGTTCAAGACGTCAGTGACATGGTCACGGAACGCCTCATTAGAACGCAAAATAATGTGTCATTTAATATTGAGATGGCCCTTTCGTGGTTGGGTTGATGGATGGCCCCGTGCCCTGATGCAAAGAAAATGTCGCGTTTCCTCGGCAAAAGCCTCAGCACGTGGCTATGCTCTCCGGCCTGCTCCAAAAGGATGTTCATAGCTGTTTACGATTCTATCATCTCAGATAAAGTCCACATGATCATCTCCGGAGCGGTCCACGCAGGTTTCAGGCCCTTCCGAGTCTTGCCGGTCGAAAAGTCGTTCTGGCTCATCGAGGTCCAGCGGCAATGCCGAAGTTCCTTCTCGCTAGGGTTGAGGAGATGCCATTGGTGATACGAGGTGCGAATGCTTGCGTAATGAGACTAATCGAAAGATAGAGCACACGGAAAGCGAAACGGTTACGCAGACACTCCGGAACACGGGCGTTCAAATTTGGGTACGGGCTGGGAACATATTTGCTTCAGCTACCCCAAAATGACGGCACGAGAAGGTCGCTATCACTCGGCCTCCGATAGGTCACCAAATGCACATGTGCATACATACGAAATGGTAGGTCGAAAATAGACGGGGTGTGTGTGCGGGGGAGTACGGGGCAAGAGTTTAACGTCGCCCGAACTGGATATTTTTGAGACGACATTGTGCATCGAGTAACAAGTACGCGCTATCATATTATAGTACATAAAGTAATTACTTAGCAATGAGAAATAATATTCTTCCTCATCTTTGCATACGTCGCAGTTTAAGAAACGCGCGGTAGTATTACTGAGCTTTATAAAAACATAATACAGATAATCGTGCAAGCGTCATACAAGTAATCATACAAGTAATCATACAAGTATTACGGAAGCATTACATTTGGTAACACTATGTGTTGGCCGTACCTAGGCCCGGGAACCACAACAGACCGCGTGGCAAACATCATGAACGCATCGCGATGCGTCAGACAAGCGGTAGTATTATAATTGGCAAATTAGTAATGGATAGTAGACTTGATGCGTTGCGTGAACTAGTTGGGCCTTTCTTCTTAGATACTCTAGTCTCTGCAGTCTGATTCCAGGCTACCGCCTCGCCCATAACGGCAATTGGTTCGAGGGATATGGCTCAGTCACAATGGTGCAATTACTTGTTTTTTATGTCTTATCTTTTAATGCTTTCTGTGAAGAATATACTCAAACCAGTCATAAATGACTTGATTATGCTGCTTCAACGCCCCAATGCCTGAATACGTCCCAATAGAATCCTTGTTCTTAAACTGATACAGAGTAGCCCACTTGCCAATCGCCTGGGCTAACTGCTGCGACTGGCCCTTAAAGAAGATGTCACCTTCGGCATCGCCAATCAAAACGGGTGTCCGAATCTGGTGAGCCACTTTCCCGAGCGAGAATTTCTGCACCCCGGTGACAAACTCGAATGGAGATGTCGTGTTGAATGCCCACATGCCTTGCTCGAGACCCCAGCGCAGATGTGTGCGCACGCCTGGCTTCAGATACTGCTGAGCGAGCTGGTCGAATTTCGCCTTGTCACCCGAATCGTAGATCTTCATGGCCTCGGGGCCAAAGTCGTGGCGGATAAGGGCGCCAAAGTCCCATACGCCGTCCATGGCTATGATTGCGGCGAAGCGATGATCGAAGGCGGCCGCTCGCGGGGCCATGTAGCCTCCTAGAGATAGGCCGTAAAGAGCGACGGCTGTCGGGTCGACCGACTGGGTCATATTGAGGGCATGGTCCAAGATGGGGGTGACGACTCTTTCCCAGTCTGCGATGAAGCCCTTGTCTTGGTAACGACGTGGCGACGGCTGTCCAGGGCCTTCATAGGTGAGGACATTGTAGCCTCGTTCGAGCGCAGCCACACCAGCGACGTGGTACATTTCCTCTTGAGATCCATCATAGCCGTTGCCCATGATGATGGTTGGCCGTTGCTTCACCTCATTGTCTGGCGTGATCCAGATAGAGGGAATGTCGAATTCCGGAGTCTTGATGGTGAATCTTGCGCCGGGCGGCGAGAGCAGTGCGAGGCCCTGATCAAACGCTTCCGTCTGTTTGGCCCAATAGTCCATAATTCGAGGGTCCGCCGGATTGCCATGGAGATAGAAATCGGCACTCCGAAAGTACGTGGCGGCACTGAAGAATGCAGTTCGCGCAGAAACGGGAAACTTGGATTTGGCAATGCTTAACGCTCGCTTGTAGACTGTGTTTGCGATGCTGAGAAATGACGCTGCGAAGCTCTCAAAGTCACCAGGTACAATTGAATTGGCAGCCCCAAGACACTCGTCGATATCTGCGCCATCGTAGGGCGCCATGGCGAGAGCGCGAAGAATCTCAAAGTGGAAATCGGAGTCCTTGCTGAGCTGATACATGGTTGCATTTGGGTCCGTCATTGTAATGAGTTGACTCGGATACAGCCGATCTAATGTTTGGAAAATCTGTCTTTGCGTCAATGGAACCAATTATCTCAATAGGTATGTGCTATAGTCTTACGGTGTCTTGTTAGGATCGAGGCCTCCATAGCCTTCTTATACTTTGACCTGTTGGCAACCTGTTGCAAACCAACACGAATATGTGCGCCCAAGGTTTTTCATAGTGTGACAAAATACCACAGGGTGGTGAAAGAGATCGGTGTTCCGCCGTGTTGCGGAATTTGTTTGTGAAAGAGCCGAAGAGACGAATAACAACTTGGTGCAAACCGTCTTACGCTCGAAGAGGAATGGTCAAGGAACAAACACCCCAGAACCAACAGCAAAGTTGACATCGTCACCTCGAATCGGGACCAGTGTTAAACGAAAGGCGATGCATCATGCTTAAAGTGGCGTCTGTCAATGCGGGGGAAATAGTACAAAGTCGGCCTTGACTTTGTTCCTCGCGCTTAGATTCCGTTCAGTGGCCAGTTGTCCTTCCTAGTTGAGCCGATGATCCTTCGGGTTGCATCATCTGGTGACCGTTGGCTAAAATTGGCACAGCCGGTCAGGCCGTTGTGGACGTGGTGTTGTGTGTGCATACTTCGGTATCTATGGCTTCCTTCCCAAAGAAGATCGTTTATGCACGTCAGAAACCCGAGATGAATTGTCCATCAACACATTCGACGCTGCTATGGTCCCACGACGCCTTGAAGCTGGTTTGAGACAGCTCATAACGAGAGCAAGGGATCCTGCGTCATCGTCGTCGGCTCCGGCTCCGGCAGTTGGAGTTCCATAGTTGCCCGATGAGCATCCGTCTCAAGGTACTCTTCCCTGCGTCTGTACCACTGACAAACGATGCCTGGTGAAGATAGATATTGTAATTTCGTGGGCGTCTTTGGCATGTTTGGCCCTGTGAGCTTCTGTAGCTGCCTCCTCGACCACCTTGCGTACCATAAGCGATTTAGGGACACTTGAGACTTCCCCTTGAATGCCACAAAGCTTCATGGAAGTATAAGAACTTCAAGACAACTGCAAGGGACGACAGGGATGCTCTGTTGAAAGAAGCCGTCGTAGAGGTATCGGACCACGACAAATATTGAGAGAATTTTGGAGCGACTGGAATGATGGTTCGTGTCTGATGGATAGTTTAAGTTTAGGCGGGAAATGAGGAGCCGACGAGCTGGAGGTGAAGTTGAAAATCCCATCGCTCTTTCCCTCCTACAAACCCTGTGTGCTGACACTGGATTGACGTTGATCGATTGCAGTCTGGTCAATAACTTTGGGCATTGCGAATACTGTCTGGTGCCAGTGCCAGGGGGTATTCGGTGCTTCCAACCAATCAATTGCTGGAACCAGCCGAACACCGAACGCCAGCACCAGTCTGCACCGACTTCAATGTTACCTCTTTTCTACGCTTGCAACGACGTCGCCAGATAAAACGAACCCCTTTTTGTTTTGCTACAACCCTTGCCAGCATTTCAGAGTTGCAACCAAAAAATGGCCAAGCCATCACATTTCAACGATGCCATAGTAGAGCAATCGGTACATTGTGAACGGGATCGGTTTATCCAACGACTACGCAAGCGCGAGGCTGAACTTCTCCAGCTCGCCTCATCTAGCTGCAACAAGACTTCTGCTTCTTTCTTTCAGCCCCCAGCCCATAGCAACTATTTTGTCAGGGGAAGCTACAATCTCTGCTTTTTCATTCAATTTTCAGACCTTCAAAAATGCGTTTTGCGTATTCCTTTACGACCTTGCCTCACATCTTGCCCGGGCCGCAAGGTCCAAAGTGAGGTGGCTACAATGCGGTAGGCCACTGTTCCATTTGGATTGAACTAGACAAAGCAAGCAACTTGCTAACGACATCCAGCTGCCTGGCAGAAAACACAACCATACCTGTTCCGAAAGTTTTGGCTTACAGCACAGATGATAATTCCGATCCATTTTCGACGTTTATTATCCTCGATTATATTGACGGCTGCAGGCTTTCCAGTGCTCAGATGGACAGCTTGTGTGCGCAAGAACGAGAAGAGTTGTATAAATCATTAGCGGATATGTACATACAGCTCAGACGACTGGAATTCTCTTCCATCGGTAGACTGGAGCAGTCCCCAAACGGATTTGAAGTCCGTCAAAAGACAGCCTCAATCGACATGAATATGCAGCAATTGGAGGGTTTAGATCCATTTACCATTCAGAATACCTACCACGACAAACATGGGTATTTGCGGTCGGCTAATGCCTACGCAAATATGCTCCTGGACATTGGCTATAATGCATTCTTCAAAAGTCGACATGCCATTGAGATTGGCATGGGCCGAGATGCCATTTATCACCATTACCTCTTTTACCAGCATGCTAAAAGGTGGGTAAACCCAGCTCTGGATGGCGGCCCGTTTGTGCTGGTCCACGGAGATCTCCATCCGTCAAATTTAATTGTGAACGAGAAAATGTCTATTATCGGTGTGCTTGACTGGGAATGGAGCCGCGTAGTGCCTGTCCAGTTTTTCGTGCCACCACTTTGGCTTACCGGCAGAAACACCGTCGAATTGGCTGGGCATAACACATGGCAACTTTTTCTCATTAAAGCTTTTAATGAATTTCTTTCTATACTTGAATCCCGGGAGCGAGATATGTATGGAAATCCATTGCTTTCTCAGGAATGGGCAGAACAGTCGATGCACGCAGAGCCCCTAATCGCCAATGCTCTAGAAAACTGGACAGATATTGATTGGTTCGCTTTTCGATATCTAAGTCGCGCAGATGAAGATGCGACGAAAGAAGCTATCCAGGCCTTTATAGATGAAGATCCTCTACGGAGGCTAGTTGCTGAGATGAAGGAGAAAGATGAATGCGCCTATAGCAAAGAGCTTGCTGCGGTGATGGATGCGGCGGGTTCTCGGGGGAAACAGTCGGCGCTTTTGACCTTACTTGGTCAGATTTCTAATGTTCCCCGTGCTAGCCCAAACGCCAGCATTGTCGCCTTTGGTGTAACCGTGTCAATCATACTATCCTTACTATGGAGAAGACCTTGGCCTAGCCCTAACTCTTAAGTGTTCTGATTTCGGCCTCGAGCTGAGCTTGCTCATGCGTCAGCCTCTGAATAGCTAGTCGAGTGCATCTAATTCGTCTTGGAGCCGGAGCGACGACCCCCTTGCCACCTTATTCCGTCTGAACTTGGCCGCATTTGATGACGACGACATCTGTTTATCGGTCTCTGATGACATTCGGTCTTTGATGCTTTGCATTTCATGCCGCAGGGATTGGATCCTTCACTTCACAGATTCTTTTCGTCGTTTTTTATCATTCAACTCTTCAATTCGGGCAAGACTGATCTTGTTCGACATGCCAATAACTCTATGACTACGTTTCAAAGCCCTTCATTGTCTATTCTCTGTTGCTTACTGGCGGTAAAGAGATCTAGAACATGCCTGTGAAAAATTGCATTCCAGAGCTTCGGAAAGCGACCTCGGATCTGGGAGAAAACTCGTCAATTTCCGTTATTCTAAAAAAAAAAATGGACTGCGGAGTTCTTAAATATATTAGTCAAGAGGCGGCCCGTTTCATTGCCTTTCATCATTCCGACGCCCCCCAGCGCCGTGTATAGACTTCTCGGATATGTAATTGGAGCGGTAACAGGTACTTCGTACCCGAAAGCTGTTCTGAAATCAATGTCAACCGCTGACCTTGCGAAACCCAGGTACATCTTAGCCCAGTGATCCGAAATCGCGGTTATTGGGGTTATTACCCCCAAAGTAACTTCCGGCTGGAGCGTTCTTCGGGAAATGAGGTTTCGTCGTAAGTACTATCTCAAGCTACGCCATCAAACTGTCCAATTGTAATAAAAGGTCCGGCGGTCTCTACTCAGCATCCTGAGATCTGGCTCAATTCGGACGAGCCCTCCTAAACCACAAACAATTATCCACCCTACAAACACGTCAATGGATGAAGCTCTATGCACACACTGTCTCTCCCTTCCTTTCAATCAATGCGCCTTGGGAAATCTAGTGTACCAAAGCCAAAATTCTAGCGGCTAGACGATCGATCGAAACACTAAATCTGGAAGCGATCACCAGTACCAAGCCTTTCTGATCCCGGTGCCTGATTACAATATTCTCGTTTCTTATCTTTCTGCGGGGCCTGATGCGGGACCTGCTATTAACATGAGCGCTGAGGCTGCGCTGCAATCGTTTCTGCCCGCGTTAGACGGGGTTTCTCGGATCCAGGCATTTCATCGCTTAGGCGGTCGGTATGTGTGCGGACGGGCAGAACTCGTGCTGCTTACAACGGATGACTGCCGACAACAGGTGATCAGGGACCAGGACTGCTTGTAAAGGAATGGCTCAGCAATGGCGCCAAACGTCCAGGAAGCAGCACAAGCTTATTCAGATGGAACGGGAGGTGAGACAATCAAATCCATACGATTGTATCCCTTGATTTCGAATTGGACTCCCCGTTAAGTGGTTCGAGTTATAGCCGGCTGTCCTTCCTCGAGATTTTTGAAATGATGCCGGTCAACTACGATCACCCGGTTTTGCGTATACTCAACGTGGACGCAGGGCAATGCGGCCGAGTTGATCAGCTCATGTACGGTGAAATCATCGTCAATGACTGTGTATTTCAGACAAATAGTCACGGTATTGCTGTGTCTGTTCAGCCACGCGTAATGCGTGATGCCTCGAAGCGAGTGGAGAGTGTTTGTCGCCCCCTATTTCCTCCAAGAGCTCTGAAATCACTTCCTGACAGGGTATTACAGCTTCAGTTCTGTATAGGGACCCAAGTTTCGTTCAAAAATAGCCATAGCTCATCAATTTACAAATCCATCGCGAAAATATCCCTTAAAACGTAGTATTGCAGGCCGTCCCAATATTATTCTCACCAAGCTATCGTCTCTGAAAAGTCGCTCCACTCCCCATCCATACCATTAGGTCGAAATCGAAATACAATCTTTAAAGATTTTCCATTACTTTGGGGATAAATATCTGCCGAATGAATACGACACCATTCTGGCACAACTGCAGGATCGGTTGGCTGCGGCTCTTCCAAACACGCCTCCTCCAACTGCATCAGGCGCTCTGCTATTTTAGCATAGGCCATTGCATCCCATGAGCCTTCGAGGCTGGGTGCTAGGTGTAGCAGTTTAATTGCCCGCCGGCGAATGAGCGAGCTTCTGCATTTCGAGGCAGTGATATATAGGGGGTGTATGACGGCCATATCGAGAGTAAATTTTACGTGGTGGCGTGGACTGCCTCCGTCTGATATGGGGCTCTTGGGAACCTGACTGAGTATTTCGGATGCGCTGTCTACTATAGCGAGGAAATCACAGGTAAACTGGTCGTATATTGCTTCCTCGCTGTACAATGACGTGGCTACGAGAATGATGCCCGTGAGGCATTTGATTCGTAGGTGCGCTTCCCCAGCGGGAGACAACCAATCTCTGTTAGAGGTAGTCCCGGGCGTGAGGTATTGTTTTCGGAATTGATGTAATTTGTCTTCCAGCAACTTGGCTTCTAACAAAAGATCGAGTGGGATGGATCCAGGGACTCGATAGCGATAGTTGTCTGCTTTGATTCGAAGGAAGGTGAACACTGAGCCCATTAAATTGGCAAGCTCGCTCTCTGGGTCTTGAACAACTTGTTTAAGACTGAGATCCGCCGTTTCGGTGCTATTTGAAGCGATTAAGCGTGATTGTAGGCCAAGAAACACGGAGGCCTGCAGGTCGAGCCTGATGAAAGCCAGAGCCAAATCTTGATCAACTAAGAAAAAGTCAGTATTCAAATATACGTTACAGCGCCCCTCGGTACTTTTAAGGTGCCAGCTACATACTCCAATGGGAATTGGAGTTCAGAACTCGAAGACTATGGTCCAAATGACAGAGCGCGATCTCGGAACTGTTCATAATAAGCTCAAAGCATATGCACACAATCGTACACAACAAGACGACATTGATGGATGGTTCGTCGCCGTTTGGGACCATGTTCTGCATTTTGTGTATACAAGCCCGATAACTACGAATAGCAAGCTGAACATCTTCCGATACCTCTGTCGCTTTTGGATCCCACACCGTCATCGTCTGCTTAGCCTCGTCGAAGGCATCACACAGCACGCTGAAGGCGATGACGGCTTTCAAAAGCGCCGGTTCTTCATGGGCAGCCTGCAGCATGAGGCCCTTCCAGGACGGTCGGCTGACGTCTTCCAAAATGCAATAGACCAGGCGGCGGCGGAAGGCTTCCATGCACTGCTGTTCTTCGTGGTCGAGGTTATTGATTCTCGAGGGTTGGAAGTGGGAAAGCGTCAAGGGCTGGATGAAGGTGACGCTATTGGGCTCTTTCATAACGGGCTGAGCGACGCCATCACACTCACGGCCGGTTCGTTTACAGTTATGACAAGTCGGCCATGTTTCGTCACAACGGACCTTGCGGATTCTTGAACCAAAGCCATGGTTGTTAGTACAGGTTTCTTGCGATTCGTCGACAAGGGCCAGATTCGTTATAAAACAACACGAAACAGCAACACTCACTTGCACGTTCTGCATCCAAATTTGGTCTTGGTATAACGGCGACGCTGTCCCGTCGCGCGTTTTATTTCGACATTTGTTCTGGCAGTTGCTAGCTTCACCATTGTCGATACGGGTTTAACATGGTGTAAGTCAACCACTATGCATGCCCAAAGCTAGAAGCCCGCCATGCAATGAGCCGGAACTGGGGTGTCGCGAGTTTCTTATCCTTCTTTCCCAGAGGTTCTCGAATGTCACTCCAAGTACAAACTTTGTGTGCCGGGTCTGCCACCGTACAGGAAAATAAGGTTCATGGGGGCGTACATACCTGTCCGTCGGCCGAGAAAACGGTGATAAACTCTTCTTGAACGAGCACTGCCAAGTCCATCCCACCAGTAGCCACTGGCCGCCGGCCACCCTCATGCCTCCTCTCCTATATTACATACAGGAGGAACGGAGGTATTGCGGGAGTCATCAACGGGCCGGGAATTGCGCCACTACCACACCGTCTACTCCGTAGACTGGCAGGCATCTCTGGTTCTCGAGACACTAATAGGCCGCCCCGAAGCCACCAAATGTGTCTTTTGGTCGCAGCATAGTTCCTGGTTTGTCTACACTTATTCAAGGCATCCCCCGAAAGTTCCGTCCTCAGTTCCGCCGTCACATTCGGTGTGGCTCCTCCCACGTTTTGTGAGGTCGCTGCAAGCGAAGCGGCTGAGATTCAGCCGAGCAGTACGCCTATGATCGTAGAATCCATACCGTTACAACACATGGCGGCGCGTGGGCGTTTGCGCGCATGGTTGGCTGGATCCTTGACCTGCCTCCCTCTGTTGTGGCACACGCACAAAAGTTATACTTCGAGTCAGCGAAGCAGAGAAGGACAAAGACGGCCCGTTCGACGATGCTGGGTTGCTACCCAAGCGGGAATAGCCTCATGTCAATATTGAGCCTTCTGTCGACACACTTGTTGCAACGTGTCGAGCTGGTATTCCCTCTCGCTGTTCTTGCTTGGCGGCAGCATCGAGGTCATCTCTAGGTCATGGGCAAATGATATGCCGTTATAATATCCCCAGCATTTGCTCATGCCCAATATTTCAAGCAACTATACCAAGGCGAACCAGGCGGCGAGATGTAGGCACCTAGCTTCAAGCATGACCTCAAACCCCCGACTATGCTCCTGCAGCCACATCGTCAATACTGCCCCTGGGGGCCGCCCAATACGTTCACAGCACCCGATGAGTTGCATTCTCCCTATTCTCAGTCTTCTTCCTCGTGGCCACCGGGGGTGGGCACCCCTTGCTGGTGAGAACCACCAAGCGTCGTCTGCGTGGCCACCGAAAGTGGGCGCGATGGTAACACAGCAGCAGCACCATGAGAGGCCCAGATCATTTGCCCCCCCCCACCCCCCCCCCCCCCTATTCAAGCAAATCCATTCAGACTTTGAACCCTTTCGAATGTATCCAGAGTCTTCTCCGGCGTGCGCGGCTGGTTTTGCCGACGGTGGAGATGCAAGATGGCCGACGAGCAGCTAAATATAACCAATGCGGTATGCATACTTTGCGCACGTTGGCATTAGAAAAGATAACCTGTCTCCTCGGACATTTCTTCGTCACCTGCAGGACTTGTCGGCGGTCAAACGACCTGACCGCAGACTTGCAGCCAGGCGGCGCTGACTTTGTGCTCAGATGGCCCCCTTGAACGGCCAGCCCTCCACGTTTCCCCTTCCATACTCCCACATGGTCATTTTCAAAAGCTGTCCAGGTGTCATTTCTCCGTAAGATGCGGAGTAATTTGCAGCTGCATGAATGATTGTGCCACTTTCGCGGAGTCCGGAGTACATGGCAGGGTACTGTTACTACTGTACCACGAACGGCCTGGGTTTCGCGCGGATCTCTCGCATCCAAGTTGCCAGCTGATACACCAGCAAGGTCAACGGCAAGAATAGCACAGCGTGCCCGTCGCTCTGGTGCACCGGTGGTAGTACGCCGCCGGTTTTTTTTCGCAATCTCGACCGAAACAAGGCTGCGTCTGGCAGAGCCGCACGAGAAGACGAGTCAAGCACCTGTGATTCTGCCGCTTAGACAACCAACTCTATCCAAGTTCAAGTTATGGGTTAACTCATTCTATTACAACTTTATTTACAAGACATGAAGACTTTGTGTTGTTTACAGAAGAATATGCAAAACAATTGTCCGTCCAAGAAAGAAATTAGAGAATACATGGGCAAGCGTGCGGCAGCTCTGTGAATTCAACCGCGTCCTCCGTTTGCACTGCCTGGAAAGGAAGCCAAGGACAACTCCGGCCCATTCACCTGGCCGTTTCCGCTAAAAACCTGGGCTCTGTTCGCCTCGGTACAACAGCTCGCAGTCGCTAACTGCCGAGCGCAGCTCCACAACAAAGCAATTCGGCCAGCTCCAACTACACACTTCGTCATAAACCTCCAGATTCACTCCATCCATCACTCGGCTCCCAGTCAAATAGAACCGTGAATTCACTGACTGCCTTTGGTAACCTGCAGGCACAATGGCCTTGTTCACTGATAACCTTGATTCACCTGCACGCGCGCTTCTGCCCCAAAAAAATTCTTCCGCGGCTCTGCCTAAATGTTTTTCGCCCAATGTTCTCAACTACTCAGCCCGGCTAGCTTTCCGCACATTGGGTGTTTTTGTTACCAACATTTGTGATCCGGCTCTCAAGGTCGTCTCATATTTCAACTCTTCGCCCTGAATCATTGAATCAAATACAAAGTTCAGTCCTTGATATCGCCATCCTCGAAACTAGTTGCTTGGCATGAGTCTCCAGCGACGTGATGCGGGCGAGTCTGTTCGTCATATCTCAGAATCATCTGGTGCGTGTCGCTGAATTTTCAGAAAAGTTAATAGCAACGACACGATCTTTACTTAAACCTATTAGCGTTGGCTCGAACTGCCCCTCATTCGAATCAGCTGTCAGGACGTCGGCCCAGCTGGCTTACCACTATCGAAGTTCAGCCCAGGCAGAATGAGCAACTCCGTCAGCAAAGTAGTGACTGTTTTCGCGGAACATTATCCTCTGCCATCAACAACCGGGCATTGCAGACGTCTTTGAACAACACCTCGAATTGCCCTTCTGTTTCAACCACTCATGTTACTGGGTTTCGCCTTTCATCGCATCACGATGGCGCTCGAAGAGTTTCTGGGGGTGGCATTTGGCCTCCGACGCCTATAATTGAGCCACACAATCTTGCTTCTTATTCTGTGATGCCCTTGAGCCATGACTTGACTCATGCTTTCGTGGCTTCACAGCCCTTTACACCAGCTTCCTCTGACGCGAGGATGGAAGACTTGTCCCATCAACTCCAGCTCCGGAAAGTCCAGGCCCCGGCGGAGATTTGCAATACTCTGGTTTCGAATCTGATTCAGCAATCGACTACAGTCGGGCGCAAGACCGAGGATGTTCTATCTGCAGTCACTGTTGGGACCGCTAGAGTTGCCGCAAACAAAAATGGTGTTCTAGCTGGCGGACGTGACCACGATGGTGCCAATGCTTCTATTCTCAGCGGCAGCTACGCACCCTCCAACCGTGGAAGCCCTGCTCATGCTTACGCCCATGCTGGGTTTCCTCGTCCTGTTGGTCGTGTAGGTTCTGCTGAGCCCCATGACTCTGCCACCCCTCTTGGGTATCACGAGTTGTATAATCCAAACGACGAGGCCATGTCTACCAAGTCTTACGGATACATGAGACCTACCCAGATTGAGCCCAAAGGACTTGGTGTCCCCACTAGTCCTGCAGAGCGTACCAGTCCAAGTGACTTTACTTATTCGAAAGACGCCAACATTGCTGGCGATGAATGCCTTCCTCTTGAATCTCATGGGCATTCGGCCCCTGCTCGTCCTCCCGCCTCTGTTAGCATCCCTGGTATCTATCGACCTACCGACACAAGAGGTCCGTTTGGGCGAATCCAGAAGCCCAACATGTATCCCACCCCTGACGCCCTCCAGGATGCAAATACTCGGGGGAAATCCACGCCAGTAAGACGGGAAACAATGCATTTCAGTAGAAAAAAGCAAGATCAACACAACACGCGCTAACTGTTCCGGATAGGTTGATAACAGAAGAGCCCTAACCACACAGCAATGTACCTCCCAGCCCAGCCTTGCCGCGACGAATGCTGTAGCCCCGGGCACACAAGCTACCGGCTTCGTGCCCATGTTGGCCGTCAGCCGTCCCGACATGACCGGCCGAGACGTCACGCCCATGCCACTCGGGAGCCAGGCCGTCATCGACTTGAAGTTCTCCCCTCACTACCGCGGCATGCACACCGAGGCCAACGCCAGCGCAGACCACCTCCCGCCGGACCAGAACTGCTCCCTCTGGATCACGCAGCTGCCCCCGGACGTCAAAGTCGCCGAGCTCCTAGGCAAGATCCGCAACGTCGGCCGCGTGTACGCGACCGTCCTCAGCCCCCCGGATGGAATCAAGCATCCCAAATCCGCCGCCAAGCTCGTCTTCTTCACGCCAGCCGGGGCGCGGAAGCTGCTCGCCCACGGGGAGGACCACCCCCTCGTCATTCGCGGGCACAGGGCGCAAATCATGCCCAACAGGACCAAGTGCCATTCGCAGAGCACCGAAAGGGGCGAGTCGCGCGTGTTGATCATCACGGGACACAGGAGTTTTGTAAACGAGGCCAGCCTGACGGCGTATTTCGAAGGGAGGTTCACGTTTCAGATTGACAAGGTGCAGACTTTGCTCGAGTTTCAGGACCGGGCTGTGGTTGAGTACCAATTCGGTAGCTACCGCTGCCAGTCGCAGATGGGCCTCAAGGCGTTGCTGCTGGATCGTCCGAGGGGCCTTGAGATGGTTGAATTTGGCGCCGATCCCTGCGAGGTCGGCAGTGAGACGACCTCGTTTACGGTTGCTGGGGAGAGGATCCAGGGGAGAGGGCTGTTTCCTGACCTGGAGTGACGGGGGGGCATGGTAGAAGCACAAACGAGATAACTTGGTCCGAATTGAGGAAAGGACGGAACTAGGGACGCTCATTGTTGACACGCCGAATGCCGGTTTGTATTGGTATTGCAATTGTTTCTTGCGACTTGGACAATGGGGATTCGAGGGCCAAGGAGACGAAAGACAGCTGGTGTTCAATGCTAGATGATGCGGAAGAGCAAGAGGCGTCCACGACTTGCTCTTCGTGTGGGAGTTGGGGCGAAAAAAAGTCTTTGTAGGGGGATTCAACGGGCCATGTGGCGATAGATTCAACGTTAGAACACGTCGGTAGGTTTGTCGGTTTTAATGAAATACGGATCAGAAGCTTAATCCTCCAGGCCTCTCCAAAATGACCCGAGGTCTTCCCGCCTCGACTTGTTCTCACAGCCAGTCTCCTCCTCGATGCGCTCTAATACGTCGAGGAGGGCCTTGCGCTCAGCCGGATGGCGGATGCACCTACCGGCCACCCACAACGGTTGGACAGCGTTCATCCACGCCCCATGGTGGTCATTGGAGATGCTAATGGCGCATATTTGGCGAGCATGCCAAAGAACACTGTGGGTTTTGGGCGGCGTCACCTCGGTAGGTTGGTGTTGGAGCATAAGGACTGACGCGGTGTGGTAGAGCTGGGTGCCGGACATGGCGGCAGGACTGGAGAAGATGACGGTTGGAAACGTGGTGTTTGTGGTCGTGGATAGCATTGACATGACCGGCAGAAAGGGCGCCGGACGGCTCTCTTGCCAGTCGCACATATGCTTCCAAAGTTGTAGCCAGCGAGTGCGGAATGTCGGGTCGGGGCGATTGGTAGTTGGGCAAGGTGAGAGGAGGGTTAGGACTCGGGCTGTGAGATGGACGGCGTAGTTTGCCCATCCGGTAAAGTTTGTGGATTGAAAGATTCGTACGTCGTCGTCGATACTTGACCTGGACGCCCGATTTGATACGGCAAGAGTCGGAACGGGGGAGATGAGGGCGCCGCAGACGTCGGTTCTTGCGAGGCACCAGAACAAGGCTTGGTTGACACCTCCGACGAAGCCGTTGATCCCGACGGCCTCCATTAGGCTGGCACATGCGTCGAGATGCCAGTGCCATGCTGTAGGAGAGCAGCCAAGCGTCTCTAGGACGCAGAGGATCACGCATGAAGCCACGGCGGCTGTTGAGCGGGATGCTAGGTCTGGAAGCAAAAGGCGTACAGCTTCTTGATATAGTGCCAGGCTCCGGTCCGGCTTCGCCGGCTTTTTCAGCTCTTGATGTCGTGCAGATAGGGCAAGGATGGCGCATCGCAAGTGGTCGTTGGACAGTGCCAATGCGGGAAGAGTGTGCTGAAAGTGCCGGTCCATGTCGAATATGTCTAGCCAAGGCGCAACTTTGTCGAACCAGTTTCTCCAAAGGCGGCATTCTTCTTCTTTTGATAATATTGGTTGTGTTGTCTTTAATGGGACTGCCAAATGGCCGGGCACGCTGCTAAGCGGTTTACCGTGGTTACAATCTTGACAAAGGTCGTTGTCGGGTCCGTTGACTTCGGTGCTTGGGGTGGCTGGCCTCGTAGACAGGTTCGGTCTTGACTCTTGAATCAACTGTTGTCTCAATACAGAGCGCAATTCATGGTACGCAGGGCCTGGATGGAATACACCATCCTCGAAAGACGTCCCGTTGGGGGTGAAGCGTTGGTTGTGGTCGAGGTAGTCGCAATCTGCAATGGAGGTAATTGACATTGGATCCAATCGCATATGTATCGATTGGCGAGTAGGTTGAGCAGACTGGCCCCGTTGCCTGAAGTTGGACAAATCAGCAACAGGTATTTCCGTCTGTCGACGGCTCACCGGTGAGGCAGTGCCATCTATGAGTAGCGGTGACTCGGGATCTGTGGACGAAACGCCAATAGGTGCCGCACCAATCGCTACACACGACTCTACTGTTGACACCTCGTTCAGAGCAGATATTCCTGTTTGTCGAGCACCCCCGGAATAGCCAGGAGAAAGACTGTTCTCTCTAGCAGCATGTCCCGCGTTGAAATGCGTACCATGTTCATCATGAGCAAAGTTCCGAGGCGGCGGCAACGAAAGGCTATAGTCACGCATCACCTCAGAGGTTACGTCCAGAATCTCATATTGCATTGGGCCTCGTCTTGAGAAACGTCGCATGGAAGGATGGTTTCTGCCGAGATGCTGCGCATTCTCATCCCGAAAGCTGAGCTTCAACCCCCACAAACAGTGTTGTTTCTTCTTTCTGCACCCGCCGCATGATGGCCGCTGCTCATCGCATTTCCGCCTCCTCTTGCGGCAATTGAGACAGCCTGTCCGTGTTCGTAGGCTCTTGTGACGTGGTAGACTCTGCTGAGCGTCGTCTTGGTCTGCAGATACGGTCATGATGGTCGAGCGGAGCCGCAGTTGAGTTTAGCGCAGCACTGCATGCACATGAAGGCGATGCCACCGATACGATATGCCAACTGGTACGTCGGTCACTTCCTTCACAGGGAGACTTCCAGACCGCGCCAGATTGGGAGCTCCAGATCAATTCATGGCCCTTTCGAAACATAACCAGCAGTTGAAAAGGCCATGATTCCCCAGCTCGGTTCTTGGCCACAAATGCCCCGTAACTGACCACGCGATAGGTCTAGCGCCGTCAGCGCCCTTGCACTCTACAGCTAGCCGATCCTAAAACTGCACATGTGAGTATATCTGTATCAAAGCTTGGGATGGGAAACATATCTGGAGTGTCGATTTTCGTTACGGACACACTGATAAGCTGCATATTGGGGATGTTCAGCCAAACCCACTATTGCAAACGCAATAGACATTTGTGACACTGACGCCACTCATGAGATATGTCTGGTACACTTGAAAGTTGGTCGGAGCAAGGACGAGAGAAACTCGCCGAGGGTCAAATAGTGAGACTTTGCCAGCATCCAGCCCTCTTTCCCACTATGGTGAGTGACAGACTATCAAGATACATGTTCGCCAAGCCGGACTTTGTATACGCTTCTATTATTGAGGTATTATAAGAATCATCGAGATGCAGCGCAAAATGGCAAAAGCAGCGGGCACTGTTCAAGTACGGCCCCCAGTGCGCATCAACCCAGCATTACAAGGCTGGATTGACTCGCTTGTTGACGCAATCTCAAGCACCCTCTGTCCTAACGCGAACATGCACTCAAGCACTCAAGCACCAGACCTTTTACTCATCTGTTTGCCTCACTTCCATTTCAACCAGCCAATGCCTTTGCCTTTCTTTTGTTGCTGCTCTTCCATCCTTGTTCTCTCTAGTTGTCTTCTGGCCATGTCTGCCTGCAACAACATCGCTTTCTCCTCCATCTGCTTCTCTGTCGGGAACCCGTGGCCTCCATCTGAGCGGGTCTCTTTGTCGTCTGAACCCTTATAGATTCCTTCTGTCACTTCTAGCAGTTGGCAAAGCCCTTCTGCCTTTTGCGTGAGCCACGATCCATGGCGCAGGCCGTGTCGCCAATGCGGCGGTGACGCCCTGTATCCCAGGTATGCGCCCAGAAGAGCACCAGCGAAGCACGCGTTCGTGTCCGCATCTCCGCCTCGCATAATGCCTCGCATAATGAGATCGGTTATCAGAGACTCGAACATGGCTGACTGGGCAGATAGCGAATACCCCGAGTCGGCAGATTTTCGCATCGCCATGCGAAGGAGATGAATACCAGAGCCGAATGTCTTGTCAACGTACCCAATTTTGTATCCATCGTCAAGTTGCAGCATGCTAAGATTCTCAACATTGGCATGTTTTCTAAACTCGGCGAGATCCAGGTCTGGTTCGTCACGTCGATCTGGGTCTTGCATCTGGCGAGCCCTGCAGCCAGTCCACCACGACAAGCCTTGGGCAATGGTGGTGTCAATGTCATCTTCTCTGCGGACTTCCTGGCGAAGAATCCCTCGGATAAGGGCAGTCCCAATAGCACACGAAGTTATGCATCGGGGGTCAACATGTGTGACAACCGAATACGTAGCTGCTGTCTCGAATGTGTCGAGAAGTGGCTTGTTCAAACAAAGAAGGCCAAGAGGGTGCGTTCGCATAAGGCTTCCATTGGGTGCAACATGATGATTTGTGTTTTTCCAATGCAATCTTGCCGTACCTTCGGGGTCATCGAGATATGTCTTTGTTCGCACAATTGAGCCCACAGTCCGTCCCAAGCCCAAGGGCAACGTATCCAGCGCAAGTAGCCCGAATCGAACCCAAATCGAGAGCCGTGACGCAAAATCCTGTGCATTGAGCTCTTTGCAGTCCTTGTGTAGACAGGACAATGATATCAACAGCGCATGGTCTGTATCATCGGTCCATTCCCCGGGGTGATGGGGATCCCGATGTGCGTCGCTCCTGAAGGGGGTAGCCTCGGATTCAGGATGAAGCACGAATTTCCGTGACGGGTACGCTATAGAGGACATGTGTCCAGATAGAAACTCGGTATATAATCCGACGGCATCTCCCAAGGCTGAACCAAACAAGCAGCCAATGATCCTATCGTGGACTGTCTCCCTAGCCAAGCCGTTGATGCCTTCGGGGGTGATGCCATCACGCGCCCTACCTGACAAGCAAGGCAGACTTTCTCACGACAACAGATTGACTGGTTAATCCAGAAATCGTTAGCGGCAGCTGCCTAGTCTGCTTGGCAGGTTTTGGTGTGGAGGAGGAGCGATCTGTTACACTTTAAGGGGCACTAATTATTACGATAATATATATATATAAGTTTATATTTAGCTATAAAAGAGAAGATTATATATATTCTTTTTATAAGTGCGCTTATTATTATAATTATTTACTTATAATTAAAAGCTTACTTTTATTTAAGTATACGTATATAATTTATACTTATAATAAGTAATTTATTTTAATATATCTTTTAATTAAGCTTATTATTAAAGCTATTATAAGCTTTATTTTTCTTATTTAAATACCTAATTAAATATTAAAGTTACGCTTATAAGTTTAATTATATATATTTTATTTTTTCTTAGCATTTTAATTAACGTAATCTTTTTATTAATTAAAAGCTAATTTATTAACCTTTTATTTATTAAGGTAAGTTAAATATAAGTTATACGCAGAGCATTAAAAAAGTGTAGTTTTATAGTTTTTAGTGAAATTTAGTATAGTATAATGTAATATAATTTTATTATAGTATATTATATTTTTAAAATTAGTGTAATATATAGTATTAATTAATTTATAAGCTATTATTAGCTAATATA